ATGTCTGTGCACGGGCATGTCTGGTACCTGTGGAAGCTGGAAAGGGGGCATCAGATCCTCTGGGACTGGACTGACGGATAGCTGCCAGCTGCCTGATATTGATTCTGGGAACCAAACCTAGGTCCTCTGCAGGAACAACAAGAGCTCTTAGCCAATGAATGGCTCTCTCTCCAGACCCCATCTGACATTATTAAGGAATTCAATGGCTTGTGCTTGCAACCCCCCCCAAATTGTCCACATTAAAAAAAAAACTTTACCAACTCCACATTGTACCTCTCCTGTGTTTAAATGTCTCCCCAAAGACCCATGTGTTAGAGCTCCTTTAGAAGGTGTAATAACTGTTAGGAAATGGGGCCCAATCAGGTCATGAGATCAGGTCTGTGGGGGATGAACACTGGGACCCCAGCCCTTCCTCTTGCTATGTTTTGCCTCCTGGCTACCACAAGATGAAGCGCTCAGCACAGGCTCAAAAAAAGCAACAGGGCCAGCGACTCCAACTCTCCCATCCTGAAACCAAGGCAAACCTTTTTCCTTTATAATTTGCTTATCTCAGGAATTTTGTTACAGTACTGTAAAGCCAACAAACACAATTCTAGAAATCTATACGATGAAAATTAAACTTACATTTTATAATAGTTTTAGATTTACAGGAACTGGCAAAGATGCCCAGTGTTCTCAAAATCACCACACCTAGTTTCCTGCTATTTGTACCTTACATTAATGTTCTACTTTTATCATAATCAAGGACCCAGTACTGATACATTATTGCTCACTAAAATAGACACTTTATTCAAAATTCCTAGTTTGTTACCAACGCCCCTTTTCTGTCTCAGTGTCTCCTCTAGGATAGTCACAGCACAGTTGGCTGTCCTGTTTCCTTGGACTCTTCCATTGAATTCTTGGTTGCCAGAGGCCAGGCATCCTCACCAGTTCCAATGTCTTCTGAAACAGGACCTGGGCAAATGCTGAATTCAATCGACCCAGTTTCTATTTTAAAATGTCAACTCTTTGATGGAATGATTTAATACTTGCTTCTGAGTAGCTTTATCTACCTAGACGTCTATCCCTCTGATATGAACAGTGAGATTCCACTTGGCCCTGAGGTTTTACGAAGGGCTTTGTTTATTACAGCTGACAGATCTGTAGAGCGTGGCTGACTTCATAGGAAACGCTGGTCCTGTGGCTGGGATGCTACCTGTGTCTCATCCTTGATTGCCGGAAGAACTGGGTGACAAACTGCCTCATCGCCTTTGGCTGCTCCACCTTGGTCTGGACCCCACGGACACTGGGGCCTCTCTCACAGGCATCTGTGAGGATCCCTAGATCAGATACAGGAACCCCAACATAAATAATAATAACTGCTACCAGAGGCTGGAGCCTACGATTTTATGTTACATATAGAGCACATCCAATCCTTACAATGTGCAATAAATGAGGATGCAGTGAGTACTTTGATCCTAATTTTGGTTTAGGAAACCAAGGCACAGAAAAGGTAGCCTGGAAAGACACTAAGGGTGAAAGACAGACCTGGAATCTGGGCTCAGAACTGCCAAGGCACATGTTCGGTGAATGAACATCCCTAATCTTTTGTCGAGACAGAGACTTCTGAAACTAGAATATTGTTTGGATGGCCAAGGGAGGGACCATAGACAAAAGATCATTGGAGAGCATGGCTGTTTCCCATTTAATTGGGTCCTTCAAAATCAAATAATCCAGCAAACAATATCTGATACGTTCAAGATATGAACAGGGTTCCGGTAAAGGCAATTCAAATCCTAGAATGCAAACTGAGCTACTCCTTGCCAACTTAAGGCCCAGTTCACAGAGGCAGGCAGATCTCTGTGAGTTCAAGGCCAACCTGGTCTACAGAGAGAGTTCTAGGACAGGCTCCAAAGCTACACAGAAGAACTTTGTCTTAAAAAAATGAAACAAAACAAAACATACAAATAAACAATACTCAATTCAACACATTTTTCTTCCTAGGGAAAGTCCAGGTTCCCAGCATGACCAAGCTGACATTGTGGTTCACTTGGTCTGGTGTCGTGGCCTACCTAATACTCTTCAGGTATTGCCAGCCCTCCCTGTGGCACCAAGGAAATCCTTATAAGACATTTTTATGAGTCCTAGGAATTAACATCTGTCCCTAAGTTATAAAATAATTGAGGTGTTGGATTCCTTTCAAAACACTATCCAAACTGGTTGTGTTGGCTCATGCCTGTGATTCTAATACTTGGGAAACTGAAACAGGAGGATTGCTGTGTTTGCCACCCATGAGTTCCAGAATAGCCTGAGTTAGAATGTGGGATACTGTCTGCCCACATCAAAACAAAAATATCACCTAACCAAGCACAATAAATTTTGTTATTGGTAACCAAAGTCCTGTAACTATTTATAGAAAGTATTGGCAAAAGTTATACCAGTGTCTTTCAAAGATTGTTCCATACTTTGGGACCTAAACCACCATGACTTACACAAGAAACATGGTCACAATGTGATAAAGACCTTGTCGATGCCATTTGCATACACCGGATAAGAGATGGAAGATTGGCTTCAGATCTCACTTAAAGCAAATCTATGGTCTCTGTGTCTGAAGGTCCACAACCAGGGATGGTTTTGTCTTCAGAGGATTGTTTTGGTTGTCACAATCTGGATACTTCGCCATTGACTTCAAATGGGTAGAGGCCAAGGACACCACTTAACTTTGGTCATGAACAGAACAGCACCTGCAATAAAAATTTAACCCGCTCAAAATGTAAGTAATGCTGGTGTGAGAAGCCCCGACGTAAGGTGAGAATGCACAACCAGGTAAAACTGCTAAAGCTTATGTGTTTTGCCCAAACACACACTATATCCTAGCACACAGGTCTTCAGAGCTCTTACATGGCCTTTTGGGCATCTTCAGCAAGGAGCTGGGTGCGTTAAAAGAACCACACAGCCACACGTTAGCTCTCTTGAGTCTGTGCGTTGTTCCTCCTGAGACCGTTTCAAGTTTTCTGATCAGCATGGCAAGCATAGTGCACACCTAATCAGAGCTTAAAGAACCCGGTGTGGAACTGTGCGTGAGACACACATGCTGAAAGGGAGTGGCAGGTGAGGCGCAGAAAAGTCTCCAAGTTGACTCAGTTAGCTTTGAGTCAGTCTGCAACCTCTCAGAGTCAGAGGGGAGCTTTTTGTTGTCCCCCAGCCGGGCCTCTCACTCCTGTCCCCATCACAGAATGAGGTATTTAATAATATATATATTCCTACATAATAATTAAAAAGCTCGAAACTAGAAAGTTAGTGTGTTTAAACAAGTTCAACTTAAAGCCTTAAATTTAAGACATAGTACTTTCACTATTCACACAGAGTGAAACTACGCTTATTTTCCAATGTTCCAGATATGTCTTATTCAGTTAGAATTCCCCCAGAAATTCGTCTCGTTTTGTTTTGCTTTGTTTTGTGTTTGGAGACAGGGTCTCATGTAGCCCAGGCTGACCTCAAACTCCCTATGTAGTTGAGGATATTTTGAATGTCTAATCTCTTGCCTCCACCTCCCAAGTGCTTGGATTACAGGTTTATGCTACTTGCACCCCCTTTCTGGAGTGCTAGGGATGCTGTGTGTGTCAGCATCTCCCAGCTGAGCTGAAGCCCCAGCCCTCTTAGGTAACTCTTGTTGGTTCTCTGCTGGTTCCTTTCTGTCCTCTCTCTTGAGTTTGCTTCCTTGTCATTTTTTTGCAGCTATTCTCCATCGCACCTTGCAATCTTCAGAGGATTGGGACTGAAAGGGCAGTGTTCCTACTGCCTGAAATAAAGGAAGAAAAAAAAACCTTGCAAAGCCATTTTCTCCTTGTTTATTAAGTGGAGAGATGGGTGGCCATTCTCCTCTTCACAGGGTGGGGTGAGGGAGCCTGGAGAGACACAGGGGAGGAGAGGTTAAGGATATCTCAATATCACTGCGCGGGTTGTACCCAAAGACTCCTGTACAATATACTGCTGACTTGTTTCTTTGGAGTTCCGTTCCACACATCTTGGGGTTTTCAAAAGCTCAGTGTCTCCCCAACCCGAAGTGGAGAATTCTGTGTTCTCTGCGTCTGGATGATTAAAGTGGGCACGAGAAAGAAGGAGGGGGGGGGGGGGGGGACAACCCCCGGGTTTAAACTGGGCTTCTCAGTCTGTGAACTTCCTTGCCAACTTCTTTCTTTGCTCTCTGTCTCTGTAACCTGGTACTTAAAACAGCTGCATTTAGAGCGTTCATCTCCAGGGGAACCACTGCACTCTGCTCCCAAGCAGTCTCCACGCCTTAAACTCAAGAAGCAACCTTTCGGAGGAGGAAAGGGGTATTGCCCGGTTCCCAGATTTCCTCCAAACGGTGGAGGGAAAATGCCCTTCTTCGCTTCCACTCTGAGATGAACACTGCACGTCTGCCTGGGCCCTGCTAATAAAAGCGCAAAGCGTAAATGGCTTGGGGATTATTGGCTTTCGCCCTTGGACTGAGACGTGAGATCACGATTTTCAGCTGGGGGAAGGAACCGCCTCTACCAGGCTGAGAGGCCGCGGCTTCCCCTTCCTCCGCGGGTCCTGCATGACATCACGGTGAGCTCTTGCTGGTAGGGGGAGAGGCGACTTCTCCCGGGACCTAACCCCAGACAGGCAAGGATAAACCAGGTTTTATAAAAGGAGAGGTGGGAGGAGTAATGTCGAGGAAGAGGAAAACAGAATAAGCGGGTCCGGTACCACACCATCTTTAGCGGCTGTGTGTACAGGCAAAAAGGAACAGCCTTAAGCAACTGCACCCCCAAATGTTTTCCTGCAACATCCCCCAACCCATCTTTACCCTACTTTTAAGTCCAACATAAATCGACACAGAAAGCTGTCAGGAGACCTAGGTGGAGAGGATTAGGGGTATCTCAGTCAAGGACCGGGAAGGACCAGAGCATCCGCACTGGGGTGGGGTGGGGTGGGGTGGGTGGACCGGAGGGCCGGGCGGGGGCGCAGCAGCCAGCGGTTACCTCCCCCGCCAGGCGACAACAGTCAGAGGGGGGAGGCAGAAGCGCCTCCTCCCCGCCGGGAGCCGGGGCTGCAACGCAGGGGGAGGAAGACGCCTCACCTAGCCCCCGATGAGGGGCGGATCATGCCATGGCAGCGCTTGCGAACGACAGCGGCGGCAGCACCCAGAGCCGGAGCAGCAGCCTCGGGAGCCGGGAGGGAGTTGGGGGTACTGCGGCGGGAGCTCGCGACGATGGGGACACCGCAGTCCGGGACACCGCGG